CTTTTTATTATGGATATTTTCAAAATAGAGAACAATTAGAGTATAATAAATCTACAGATACCATCACTGGGTCGTTAAAGATCAACACATGGCGGTCTTGTTTTATCCAAATCCTGCATGGTTATCTTAAAACATATCCCCCAGATTACAGAGAATAAACACATCAGTGTATAAATTAGTTCTCATCACATGTATCCAGGTTATATTTATTATAAATTAATCTGTCACTGTAATATTAATAATTGTCCAGTTCGGGACTACTTGGCGTGAGCGTTTTGAGCTACTTCAAAAATAACATTCAATGCACTGTGATAAGGTAATAAACTAAAAAAAAGAAAAATTAAAAATAGAAAAAAAGTAAACATTCAAGTGCAGTAGCAGCTCAATAGAGCCGATGCACAGCAAGTAGGTGTAGGAGCGATTGCGTGCTCGGGAGCCTGGCTTTGGCGTCTTTTCTCTTCCTCTCTCGGGTCCCTTCGGAGGGCCCTGCCTGTTTTATCCAGTGCTACCCGAGCCTAGTGTACTTTGTTGCTATTTGTAATGGTTTATTTTCATTTGCAAATAAAATTTGAATTAACCAAAAACAATTTTATGTAGTTTAGCAGAAGAGAAAAATGCAATAATCTATAATGCGTATCCTAAGATAGCAATTTCAACTATAAAGGTGTTGAGTAATTATTCTGACATCGTAAGATCTTTTATATCTTGCTGCCTCAATGGCTGTGGAATTAACTTCTCTAATGCATTACAGGAGAGACAGAAACAGCTCGAGAGCCTTGGAATATCACTGCAGTCTTCCGGAATCAAAGTCGGGGATGACAGTGTTTCCTTGTGAACCTGAACGCAGACCCTGCGCTGAACGAACTCCTGGTTGTACTATCTAAAGGTGGAGGCCGTGTGTTCTGCTGCGAGCTCCTGCCATCAAGTAGAATAGTATTTCACAGTGCTTTTTTAAACTCGAGGAACCATGCTTATTCAAAAAAAACACTTAGCGAATTGTTTTCATTTGAATAAGCTGGAATGGAGAACAGTCTGGGTTTCTGGGCTCAGTTTCCCTTTTTAGTCTTTGAGTGATGTCATTTAGCCTAGTGATATACAAAGTGATATCCAGATATTGCTTTCAACAAGCTAAATAGCTCACCTACCATTATTGAATGTGACTTAGACCAGGGAATTAAGTAGATTACTTTAAAGCTTAAAGATGACTTTTAATCTAAGTGATTCATATAGTCAGTAGACTAAAGCTTTTTGCATTTATATGAAGCATATTTTTTTTTGAGACAGAGTCTCGCTTGTTGCCCAGGCTATAGTGAGTGCCGTGGTGTCAGCCTAGCTCACAGCAACCTCAAACTCCTGGGCTCAGTAATCCTCCTGCCTCAGCCTCCGAGTAGCTGGACTACAGGCATGTGCCACTGCCCGGCAATTTATATATATATATATTAGTTGGCATTAATTTCTCTCTATTTTTATAGTAGAGACGGGGTCTTGCTCTTGCTCAGGCTGGTTTCGAACTCCTGACCTCGAGCAATCCGCCCGCCTTGGCCTCCCAGAGTGCTAGGATTACAGGCGTGAGCCACCGCGCCCGGCCTGAAGCATATTTTTTTATGAGCAGTGTGTTAGCTCATAATTGGAAATGTTTAAAGAAAGTAAAATTCTTAGTTCCATTTGATATGAAATTTAAATTTCTAGTACTCTTAGGGAAATAAAAATGGATTATCAGCCTGTTTAAAAAAAAAAAAAAAAAAGGAAGGAAGAGTAGGTCACTTAGAGACTGAGAGGGTCAGAGCATGGAACAGAGGAAAAGGCCAATATTGGTACATGTTGAAATCTATAAATCATGTGACATATTGGGAAGATAAGAGACAACTTTTAGAATAAACATGAGCCCTGAGACCTACATAAATTATGAGGAGTGCTCCAGATGGACTATTGGACTCTAACATGCAGTTAATAAACACTGGGACGTGGTATCTTTCACCTTCTATTTGTGGATTGAACTCATGTGACTAGGAAAGTAAAGCTAATGAGCTGATTAAGTTGGAAACAGCTTTAAGATTAGAGTTGTGTGATTTCATGTCCAAAAAGACTCAAGAATTCATGGCATGGCAGGTTTCTCAGTTTTTATCAAGATATCCTGGACTAGTTGCCCTGTGTCATTTTGATAAGGCCCCTCTGTTAATAAGGATCTTACACCATATTTTGTTATGCTGTGAGTTCTGCTGGGTCTTTGGTACATACCGTAACGTGTGCATGTCCCAGATATTATGGTCTAGTGGGAACAGTGCTGCAGTAGGAGGGAGGTGACCTGTTTTTCTGGTCCACGGTCAAGCCCTCTCCCAGTCCAGTCTGTAGGTTCTTCCTGTGTAAATGGGTGGAAGTTCCTTCTGGCTATCCTGCCAGGTTCCTGTTAGGATTGGATAGATGGAAGTGCTTCATAAACAGAAGCACTATACAAATACATAGTAAATATAAAACATTGCACATTGCAGTTTCTTGTCTGATGCACAATGTGGTACCATGTATGCGTATTGCCTATTAAAAAAATGATGTATTATCACATCACTTCACTGTGCTTCTAAACAACGCAGGTAGGATTTTGAGTTACAGCATCAGCCAGAGACAGTCACATGCCAGAGAGGTGCAGGATTAGAACAGGACTTACCTATCCTGTCCTTTTTACTTCTCAGAACTAGGAGTTCTTTTTCTTTCTGATGTCATGTAGTTCAAATTGGAACACACAGACACACACACCAAGAAAAACCCTGATTCATATCTGTTCTTGACTAAAAATTAAACAATGAAACTATTTAAATATTTTTGGAGAGTAGTCAAAATATTTCTGGTCATCTCGTGTGGAGGTGTTTGGGTTCTGTTTGAGACCGTGTGGTCAACTCTCTTGGCAGAGTTGGAGGCAGTGTGGATTTCTTGACTGCCTGAGCTAACCCCATGACAAGGATATATTCATGACAAAGCACATTCAGAAGCATGATCTCAGTCCAAGAACAGTTTTTGCTTCAGTAAAGTGATACCATCATGTGGGATGGAGGAATTTGGAGGCTGGGCATTTTTTATTTCTTTGTCTTCAAATTCTGAAGTCAATTTGTTAATAGAAGCTAGGCAGGTGACTTCACATCTCCAATGACTTACACCCCATCTATAAATGAAGGTACTGGATTAAAACATCTCTGAAGTTGCTTTCTAATTCTAAGTGGTGTGGTTCTCTTACTCTTCCAGAACATAATTCGGGGACCCTTGGGATTAGCATGCTTCAGACTCATGTACCCAGTATCACATAAACCCACTGAGATGCTGTCCCTGTTTTTAACTTTATTTTAGTTTGATTACATCCTACCTTCACAGCATTTAGGTACTCATTAGATAGTCTTCTTTTTTTTTTTTTTCTCAGTTTCGTAGGACTGGAGAGATAGTCTTCTGTATCAACCTATGATTTTTTTTTTTTGGTTTGTTTTCCTCATTGGTTTTTTTATTGTAGTACTTACAGCACAGTAGGAAGAACTTATCTTCACATTTTTACATGGTTTACAATTATCTTACATGTTGGAAGAAGAAGATTTCAGATGCATGAAAGTTTTTTGTTTTTTTTTTTGAGACAGAGTCTCGCTTTGTTGCCCAGGCTAGAGTGAGTGCCGTGGCGTCAGCCTAGCTCACAGCAACCTCAAACTCCTGGGCTCAAGCAATCCTCCTGCCTCAGCCTCCTGAGGCCCGCCTTGGCCTCCCAGAGTGTTAGGATTACAGGCGTGAGCCACTGCGCCCCCATGAAAGTTTTATGAAGTTCAAATTTCAGTGTTCATAAATAAAAATTTATTGGAATGTAGCCACACTCATTCACCTATATGTTCTCTGCTTTTCCACTACAATGGCAGAGTTGAGTACTTGTATGTGACTCACAACGCCTAACGTATTTAATATCTGACCCCTAATGTAGGTGTGTCAACAGAGAAGGTGGCCTGGGAACACATCCTAGTTCATGTTGACATTTAATCATGCACAGGCAGTCAAATATTGACATGCATAAGAGCTCAATTTTTATGGTGCCAATTTTGTTCATTAAGGATAGGCGAGTTACCTCCCAAAAAGACGGGGCTTAGAGAACGGAGTAGTTGGGGGTCCAAGGTAAGAACATATGTTACATCTTTTATGAGGCTAGGGGAGAACATGGAATTCATAAAATAATTTTTATCTTTTCAAACTCTTTATATTTGAATAGTGCTTTTATCTTTGTAGCTGACTCATTTTGTTTGAGACCAGGTAAGTGATGTACAACCTAAGTAAATGGAGTTTTTAGACCAATATTTTTGGTACATCATTGCCACATGGCTTATGCTCTGAGAATAGTATAAAATATTTGGAATGAAGATTGTGGTGGAAAATAGTATACATAGACATGAATATAAAATTATAGCTTTAAGTTTAAAAGGTATAACTCAACTGAGTACATTATTTCTTATAAGAAACTATGAATTATGGCGGGGCGTGGTGGCTCACACCTGTTATCCTAGCACTCTGGGAGGCTGAGGTGGGCGGATTGCTCGAGGTCAGGAGTTCAAAACCAGCCTGAGCAAGAGCGAGACCCCGTCTCTACTATAAATAGAAAGAAATTAATTGGACAACTAATATATATAGAAAAAATTAGCCAGGCATGGTGGCGCATGCCTGTAGTCCCAGCTACTTGGGAGGCTGAGGCAGGAGGATTGCTTGAGCCCAGGAGTTTGAGGTTGCTGTGAGCTAGGCTGACGCCATGGCACTCACTCTAGCCTGGGCAACAAAGTGAGGCTCTGTCTCTGAATGAATGAATGAATGAATCTGAATTATAGAATGAACTTCAGAGAAAGCCAAGGGCTCCTCCTACCAGTCTATTTCTTTCTTAAAAATCGTTTAGCTAAGGTGATAGATTAATATAAGATGGCCCAGTGTAGGTGACTTCAGTTTGTGTACATGGAAGAACACAATGTTAATCAGTGAATTTGATTCTTTCTTAGGAACATACATTGATAGGGTCAGCAAATTCCCAAGATATCCAACTGTGTGGAATGGGAATTCTTCCAGAACATTGTATTATAGACATCACACCCGAAGGCCAGGTTATGCTGACTCCCCAGAAGAATACCAGGTAATGTACTTGAATTAGTGTTAATGTCACAACAGTTTTTAGGAGGAACAAAGTACTACTGATGGGCGGCATGAGGGGCATTTGGCCTTCGTTAGCTTTTATTTTTAAGTTCACTTACTTAAGATATCCAGTTAGTCATATTAGACTTTTCAATATCTCCCACACCCATCCCTCCTCCTCTGTATCTACAGCCACGGAACCTCTGCTGATACCCTAAACCTCTTCCTGTCCCACTCACTACACCCCAGAAGACTGACTTCTGCTTTTGGTGGAAGATCCTTTCCACCCCTCCTGTGTACCTCTTCCTGTGCATCTGCCGTGCCTTCAGCTGCCAGCTCCCGCCTGACCTGTAGCGTTCAGCTCTGCCATTGTCTACGTTGAGCAGGTCCCTGTTGCTCTAGATGAAGTGGCCTCTGTACGCATTAATACTGTGCCCCACGTCGTGCTCAGTGCTTCCTGTGCTGTTAGTGCTTCGTGTGTGTTCCTGTCAGCTGTTAGCCTCTGTTACCCCGTTGCATTATGGGCTCCCTGAGCTCAAGGGCCTATCTCTTGAGTCCTCTTCGTAAACCGTGAATGGAGAGGCATCACATTTTATAGACAACGTGTTTGTCACTTTGTTTCCCTCCATTATGAAGCTGTATCCCTTGTGACAGCACTGGACATAGGACAGTCTGTAACCGTCATAGATGATGGTAACTGAATTATGTTGATCTCCCAAATGTGGATCTGTTTCATTATATGATATCAAAAATTAATATCATCACTGATTTCCTCCGTAAAGTCTTTTCTGTTGGGAAGCTGTCAAGCTTCTGGCAAAGGATCAAGTGAGAAAGAAAAAAGCAGCACACACTGGCCGGGCCCTCGTGCTGTCCTCTTAGGAGGCCGTAAGTCCTCGCACACGAGGCCACCTCGGGCCAGGGTACTCTGAGACTATGGTAGATAATACAAAGCAGGCCAGTCGTCATTGCATTTAAGCACAGATGAAAACATGGTCACTGTGCCACCCACATGATACCAACCCCCTCTCTTGGTGGCCCATGAGTGACCACTGTCTCTACCAGCTACAACATTATTCTCGATCTTCTGCTCTCCCCCGCTGCAAATAAGGTTATTTGAAATACCTCTGTGTCTTCCTCACCTCTCAGCCGTCAAAGAATTGAGGAGAGTTAGGACCTTGCTCTGAGTTAGGCATTGGCTTGAGGAAATGCCGTGGCTGGCTTGGTCTTCCGTCCAGACCACAAGAACTTTCTCCATACCAGCAGTAAGGCTGCTTCACACTCTTATCATTCGTATGTTCACCAAAGTAGCACTTTGATTTCCTTCGAGAACTTTTCCTTTGCTTTCATAACTCAGCTGTTTGGCGGGAGAGGCCTAGCTTTCAGCCCATCTTGACTTTCAGCGTGCCTTCCTCCCTGACCTTAATTGCGTCTACCTTTTGATTGAAAATGAGAGATGCTTGACTCTTCCTTTCACTTGAACACTTAGAAGTTATTGTAGTTATTCATTGGCCTGGTTTCCATATTGTCCTGTCTTAGGGAATAGGGAGGCCTGGGAAAGGGGAGGAGATGATGCAATGACCGGGCAGTGGAGCAGTCAGAGCGCATACCACATTCATTGATTAAGTCTACCACCTTACATTGGTGGTGTTCAGGGCACCTTAGAACAATTACAGTAGTAACATTAAAGGTCACTGATCACAGATCACCATAACAGACATAATAAAAAAAGTGTGACGTATTGTGAGAATTACCAGAATGTGACAGACACAGAGTGCACACATGCTGTTGTAAAAATGGTGCCAATAGACTTGTTCAACACTGAGTAGCTACAAAGCTTCAATTTGTAAAAAATGCAGTATATGGCTGGGTGTGGTAGCTCACACCTGTAACCCAAGCACTCTGGGAGGCCAAGGCAGGAAGATCACTTGAGTTCAGGAGTTGGAGACCAGCCTGAGCAAGAGCAAGACCCCATTTCTACTAAAAATAGAAAAATTAGCCAGGCGTCTTGGTGCTTGCCAGTATTCCCAGCTACTGGGGAGGCTGAGGCAGGAGGATCGCTTGAGCCCAGGAGTTTGAGGTTGCTGTGAGTTACAATGACGCCACGGCACTCTACCCTGGAAAGTACGATAAAGTGAAGCACAATAAAACAACGTATGTTTGTACTTAGTACCATAAACATTGGAGGTAAATCAGCAAAGAAGTAAATACAAATATTAAAATTCACCATTCATTTTGTTGGGGAATTGCTTTTCCTAGCAACTAGATCTTTATAGTATTAGAAAATTAAAGTAGAAGAAATGATGCTGTAATCATTCATGTTTGATCTCCTCTCCCTGCAGGACATTTGTAAATGGGTCTTCTGTCTCCAGTCTGACGCAGCTGCACCATGGGGACAGGATATTATGGGGAAACAACCATTTCTTCAGGTATGACATCGTTCATGTCCCTTAAAGAGGGATATCATTAAAGATTGTGCTCTGAAATAGAGAATATATATTAAAAGTAAACTCCATAAAAATTATACGCTGTTTTTTGTGTGTATATATATTTGATACATGTATGTTATGTATGCATGTGTTCGTCATACACGTATGGTCTGAACCCTAAGGATATATGAACAGTACACTTGGGAAAAATACTGGGTTTCACATTTTTTTCCTTTTTATTTCTCAATGGAAGATGATTGGTTTTGCCACCTAGCATAAGAATTCATTAATTTTCAGAATCCATAGGAACATGTAAAGAAATAAAAAAAAAAAACATTAATTTTTTTCTGACACGTTTATCCTTTTATTGATTTTTTTTTTTTTTTAGTCGTCTTAGTTTCCTGATCTGTAAAATAAGGTTGATATTTCGTTTTAGGAATGCTTTCATCTGCAAGTAATGGCAAATTTGACTGTAATGGTTTAAACAGATTGTTTATTTCCCTGACAGAAGTAGAAATCTGAAAGAAAATGGTTGTTAATATTGGGTAAGCCTCTCAAAAATGTCATGGCTGTAGTCTGGTCACTGTCATGGCATTTCCCTGTGGCCTAAAGGTGGCCATGCCACTCCAGCCGTCAAAGGGGCATTCAGGCATAAGAATTGAAAGCGGTACAGTGGTGGCTGTGCTAGTCCTGACTGTCCTGTTGGTCAGAAGGAACAGAACAATATTCCATTTCTGTCTCCTTTGCTAGAATTCACCTCTTAGCTGCAGGAGAGGCTGAGAAAGTTAGTTTCTACCTGGGGCTGCACACATTGTTTCCTAAGAAATTGGTGTTGTGTTGGCAAGGACAGGCAGGCTGGATGTTGTATGAAAGTAAAATCCTGGTCTCCTCTTCTTCCTGTCACTGGTCAGTGTGCTTCAGATGTCAAACTGACGTTTCCTAGAACTAAAAGAGGTCCTTTGCTGGGGCCAGTTGGTATTTTCCTTATTGAGAAAAGTGCAGTGGGTACAAAGAGCATGGAGAATTTTTTTCCTTCCCAAACTAAATCAAGTGCAATTGTTTGGTTTAGCATTCAAAGCCCGCAGAGTGTGGATGAAGTTGGTTTCCAGCTGCATCTTTCGCCTTGTGCTGTACAAATTTTGTCTATCTCTGTTGTTTCACTCAGTTTCTCCAGGGAATACAAACATTCCTATTTTCACATCTTTTCTAATGATGCTCCCTCCGCCCGTACTTTCTACTTTATCCTTTAAGACTCAGCTCAGATTATTTCCACTCTTCGTACTTTCATTACTTCACGGTGAGATGGTCCTTAGACTTCCCTTAGCACCTGGCTTGCGACAGTCGTGCGGCCTGGTGTCGCGCTGCCTGGTGTCGCGCTTTCCGTCGTGGTTGTGCGAGCGCGTGAGTGTCTGCTGCTCCCGCTACAGCACGGACTGCCTGACTGCAGTAGCTGCCGTGTGCTTCCGTGGTGCCCACTTGGCTTCTAGCAAATGCCAGTATTGAATGAATGGAATGGATAAGTAGTACTCTTTCTAGAATACTCTTTTTTCCCCCCAAGACTCAATTTGCCTAAAAAGAAAAAGAAAGCAGAGCGGGAGGATGAGGAACAGGACGGCTCCGGGAAGAACGACAGCAGTTCCGAGCAGCTGGATGTGGACGGAGACTCCTCCAGCGAGGTGTCCAGTGAAATAAACTTCAACTACGAATACGCCCAGATGGAGGTCACCATGAAGGCCCTGGGCAGCAACGGTGAGAACATCTGTCGTGTGCTTGAGACTCTTTTAAAATTGGTAGAGTGTGATAAAACTTTTACGATGGAGACCTTTTAAATGTTAGCAGAAAAGACAATCTTTATGTTGTTGTTCTCTGTACTCTATTATTTTGTCTCTTTGGCTTTATTGTGTTTATAAAAACTTGCTTTCTGCCTCAGTATACAATCAACTCACTTTATTCTCATTGATAGAATTTCTCTGGTTTGAAACTTGACTGGTTTATTATCATTACAAAGTATTCCTGTAGGATCGACCACATCTTAGGTAATGTGTAGAACATATAACAGATATAATAATATCCAGCTGGGGATAGGTTAATAGCATAAGTAATCGGAAGTAAGGAAAGTGAAGTTTCCTGCAGGTTGTCTGTGATGGTGTTAGATAGGTGGTATGGTTAGGATGACAAACAATGTAACCACATAGAACAACAGCATTTGAAGTTTATTGTATCTTACCTTTTGTTCATTATTTATCTTTTTTTTTTTTTTTATAACAAACGTGTCTAGATCCAATGCAGTCGATATTGACTAGCCTAGAGCAGCAGCACGAAGAAGAGAAACGATCGGCGCTCGAGCGCCAGAGGCTCATGTACGAACAGGAGCTGGAGCAGCTCCGGAGGCGGCTGTCCCCCGAGAAGCAGAACTGCCGGAGCGGGGACCGGTTCTCCCTGCACTCGCCCAGCGCCCAGCAGCGCCTGCGGCAGTGGGCCGAGGACAGGTAGGCGGCACGAGAGGTCAGGGCGTAGCTCGTGTTCGCCACCTTTGGACGCTGGAGGGAAGGTGCCAGAGGGGAACATTGAGACGGTTCGTGGAAAAGTATTACATTAAACCAGAGTGTTGGCTGGGCGTGTGGCTCACACCTGTAATCCCTGCACTTCGGGAGGCTGAGGCAGGAAGATCTCTTGAGCCCAGGAGTTGGAGGTTGCTGTGAGCTAGGCTGATGCCACGGCACTCACTCTAGCCTGTGCAACAAAACGAGACTCTGTCTCAAAAAAAAAAGAAAAAAATCTTGTGATCTTCCCAAATACCACATTGACTCACCTTAAGTAACATAACAAACATCTTAAAATACTCAATGAAAAAAATGGTGGCTTTGTGAATTTCATTAAAAATTAATTGCAGAATGCTGATTGCTCGTTTGGTTTGGAGGAATTAAATGCATCAGCCAATCTGTCTTTCGTGGCCTGTCAGGGAATTGCTGTCTAGATATTGCAAACTTTTGTCGACATCACAGGAAAAAATGAATTATAATGGGAGTTCTCAGTCATTCCTCAACCGTTATGTGCCCGTATGGAAGAAAATAAAGTCATCTGCTTTGCGTGACTTCCTGTGTCTTTCTTAATGCTTCCTGAAATGTTAAGGTTGTATTTGTAGTTAATGAAATACTACATGACCTTATGTCATATGTTCAAATTTATTTTCATTAAACAGATTTACTGGAGGTGGATTGAATCATGCAACATGCAGAAAGTGACCAGGGGAAGAATGTGATTTATGATTAATGCTCAATCATGTGAAAATTGGTTTAATCAGTTACTAAATCAGAATTTAGTTTAACTTTCAGATTCAGTTTTCTTTGTAGTTTGAGGAATTTTAGTATATCACAACTTATCACAGTAATTCCAAATTAAAAATCAACCCAATGCTGTCTACCAAAAGAAATATTAGTAATATTTGGCTCCTTTAAAAATCTGTTATAGGCATTTCTTTCGGGGGCATTTGGGTCTGATTAGACACATATTTCTAATTGCGCTTCATATCACAAAACTCTGAACTCCTCTAGTCCAGATGCTCCTCTCCCCACTAATGCACACAGGGAAGCCATTCAGTAATGCTGGTGCAGAGGACGGTGAACATTGACCATCTTCAATTCCCTTTGTTCCCCTCCAGATCTTCCAATTATACATTCCTGATGCTTTTCAAGTTCTCCCCAAAAATGCTGCAGTAGAGAACCTTATTCTCTTTATACTTGAGAACCTTGTTGTTCTTTATACTTTCAAATATCAAATAGATATTTTGCCCTTTCCTGAATATTTGTTGTCTCTTGACTCACACACTTATTTTGTTCTTCATTGATCATACTTAACAATCTTGTTCTCTCCTTATGACATACCCACAGTTAGACAAATTCATATCATTGGATGGTGTTAATGTTGGAGAACTTTTTCTTTTTTTTTTGTTTTTTGAGACAGAGTCTCACTCTTTGCCCTGGGTAGAGTGCCAGAGTGCCGTGGCATCAGCCTAGCTCACAGCAACCTCCAACTCCTGGGCTCAAGGGATCCTTCTGCCAACTCAGCCTCCGGAGTAGCTGGGATTACAGGCATGCGCCACCATGCCCGGCTAATTTTTTCTATTATATTTTTAGGTGGCAATTAATTTCTTTCTCTTTATAGTAGTGAGACGGGGTCTTACTCTTGCTCAGGCTGGTTTCGAACTCCTGACCTTGAATGACCTCCTGCCGGCCTCCCAGAGGGCTAGGATTATAGGCGTGAGCACACAGCATGTTGGCGAGGTCCACTCTTGCTGTTTTGCAGCTGAGGTCTCTTTCTCAGTGAACTGGATCCAGGTGAGAAGAAAAGAAAAGGAAGCAGATTTGGTCTTGGAAAAATGGACAACAGACTGGATATGCGAGACCTTTATCAGGAATGAAAGAGTGTAAGGTCCCGTAAGTTATTTTTAAAACCATTTATAGCCAGTAAGCCATAGAAGCCACCTAAATGAGCCGAGCCATTCTGGGGACAGTTGTTTCTTTCCAAAATTGTAATATAATACCTAGAGCAATTTTATTTAAATCTTATAAATGTTTAGCAAATTAGAATTTAATAGCCTTCTGTCTGGTTATCGCTTTTTTTCATTTTGTCCTTTGGATTTCTAGCAGAGCTCTGTGCTTGTTGTGTTAATGCTGTGTGGGAACCACCTCGACAGAGCTGGCCTCTTCTCTTCCCCTTCTCAGCCCTCTAACCTTGCAGATAATAAACCTACAATATGTTTTTAGATTGAAATCAGTGGTACGTAATATACACTCTATAAGAACACAGTTTTTGAAGTGGTTTTTGATCCTTCTAACGCAGGTGCGTAGACCTATGTACTAGCACTCTCTCCTCTAGTTGCAGGTTTTCTTATTTATGTCAGCCATGTACTTGCACGTATTTAAAATAGAAATTGTTTATGTATGTTTTTACATGATTTCATACTTGCTGGTCGTTTCGCAAAGTTGTTTATTTCCTTAGCTTTTTTGTAAAATGTTATTTTTCCAGATTGTCATTATAAATCGCTTAGTGACATTTGCTTAAAAAATCCATTTTCTTTTTTTTTTTTTTTTTTTTTTTTTGAGAAGGTTCGCTTTTGCCTGGCTAGGTGATGCCGTGGCATCAGCTAGCTCACAGCACCTCAAACTCCTGGGTCAAAGCGATCCTTCTGCTCAGCTCCAAGTACTGATACAGCATGCGCCATATGCCGGCTAATTTTCTATATATATTAGTTGGCCATTAGTTTCTTACTATTAGAGGACGGGTTCGCTCTTGCTCAGCTGGTTTCGAACTCCCGACTTGGAGCAATCCACCGCCTCGGCTCCAGGAGCTAGGAATACAGTCGTGACCACCGCGCACCGGCCAACTCTCATTTACTGAATTCCTCTTCCACTCAAAATAATAACAATGAAAAACCCCAAAAAAGCCTGCCATCCTGAGGGATGTGTTTATACCAGCCATGCCTGTGATTTAAGGTGGAAAAATAATAGAACGAATGACGCTTTCCTAAAGAAAAAATGGAGTGTATTCTATACCTCTCCTGTTTCTAGTCAATATACGTCATTTTATTTATGTGGGCAGATTCGAGTAAAGGAGAAGAATAATGTATGACCTGTCACACTGACTTCGCAAAACTTAATTTTTTAAATAAAATCTAGAATTTTTCTAATTTTTTTCCTGTTTTTAGAAGAAAATTCTGAAGATACAAGCTGATGGGATAATGAAATGAAGTTTAGTGACTTAGAGGACAACACAAAGCAGTGGCCGATTGCATTTCATTAATGCGATTTTTTGAAGTCGTGTGTTCGCTGTCCTTACAGGTGAACGTCTTACTTCAAGCGCCGCGATCCGTTCTACGATGAGCAGGAAAACCACAGTCTCATTGGGGTGGCCAACGTCTTCCGAGTCCCTTTTCTACGAGTCAGTTACCAAGTATGCCGTCCTATGTAACAGAAAGACGAGTTGGTCTCTCCTGCCTCGTTTTCCGCAGGACGTTACAGAAACAGTAGGCGTGCGGTGTCTTTTGGATGTTTCACGGGGAGCAGATGGTGTGTGATTCCGAGGGCTGCTGGGTGGACCTCCAGTAAGAGGGGAATACGTGCTAGACCTGGGCTCTGGTCTCACGTGCATGACCCGCACGATTGACTCTAAAACAGAGAGGTCCTCTCCAGGTCGCGAAGGCCCAAGCTGCCAACGTTTCTGCTTCCCGTTGGTGCAGGTTGGCGGGCGGGCACGTGGAGGTGATGGCATTCAGTGGCGACGTCAGGGGAAGACTGCGGGCGGAGGATGCCCGGACGTCTCCTTCGAGAAGGAGCCAGGAGAACAGCTGGTTCTGCATGGTAGAGTCCCGGCTGCGGTTTGGAAGTATCAAGGGGGTGATTTTTGAGGATGGTGTGTCTTTAGGTTATAAACTATTATTTTTTAAACAATGAATTGATTTATTAAAAAACCGACCATGGAGCTTTTGTTCATAGTCTTAACATAGTATGAATCGGACTTACACATATTTGGTTTTGACCACTGTGCACATGTGTGTTTTAAAGTGCAATGTTCCCATTTCGGCTGGAAGCCATTCAAGGGACTCTTGAGTTCCTGTTGACGTAACTCTCACCGCTACAGAGCGCGGATTGCTCTCGCTTTCTGTTTGATGAATCCTAGACTGGAATCGCACTTCTGCAAGAACCTGATTCCTTTCAGTGGAATTTTTGGACCATTTCTGCATGTAATAGCTTTTTTGTATAAAGTAGGATGAGTAAACTGCATGACTATAAACACAATTGCTCGATGGAGAAACAAAAGAAATCAGCCTGGAGGACAGATCATGGTGAGGTTCACTAGCTCAAAAGAATTTTGGATTAATTTTCATAATGGAAACCATGCACATTTAGTTAGATAGATATATAACTCTAGTAAAGTTAGTGTATTTTCAAAACACCAAACACATCAGTGCCTCTGACGTTCCTGCTCCACGTTGGAACAGCGTGCAAATTGAGCTGTGTATTCGACAAACCTTGTGGTAATGTTGCTTTCTGTATGCAAAATTAAAAAATCCTAACAACCTGTTGAGATTACACGGCATTCTCATTTCCTGGCAGTCTCATCCTGGTCTGCCTGTAGAGGAAGTCAGTAGCTTATATCCTGTTCTTATTTGTTTTAACATTAAAAATGAGTTAGTTTCTCTGGAAAAAGGACTTTTCAGATGATTCAGAGCGAATGTTGTGTGTTTTGACAATATGGAACGTTGCTGCTAGCACCTGTGGGCTCTTCGCAGATCTCATTGTGGGTCAGTCTCACCCATATGGAAGTTAGCTGTTAGGTTCCCCATTTGCCTAGGAGAACTAGGCTAAAAGATGAATTAAATAAATAGTTTGTGCAGCCACGAATAATAAGTGCAATTTTTTAGATCTTGTAACTCCAAAATCTGTGATCTGGCGGCGCGGGCTCACACCTGTAATCCTAGCACTCTGGGAGAGACCGAGGCAGGCAGATTGCTCGAGGTCAGGAGTTCGAATATAGCTGAGCAAGATTAGCCCGTCTTACTATAAATAGAAAGAAATTATTGGAACATATATATAGAAAATATTAGGCCGGGCATGGTGTGGTTGCATGCTGTATCCCAGCTACTCGTAGGTTAGTAGCATAAGTAATGGAAGTAGGAATGAAGTTCCTGCAGATTGTCGTGATGGGTTAGTTAGGTGGTATGGTTAGGATGGAACAAACAGTGTAACCCACATAGAACAACAAGCATTTGAAGTTTCTGTATCTACCTTTGCTTCATTATTATCTTTTTTTTTTTTTTTTATACAACGTGTCTAGATCCAATGCAAGTCGAATTAGACTAGCCTAGAGCAAGCAGCACGAAGAAGAGAAACGATGCGCGCCTCGAGCGCCAGAGGCTCATGACGAACAGGAGCTTGGAGCAGCTGCCGGAGGCGGTGGTCCCCGAGAAGCAGAACTGCGGACGGGACCGGTTCTCCCTGCACTCGCCCAGCCGCCCAGCAGCGCTGCGGCAGTGGGCTGAGACAGGTAGGCAGCACGAGAGGTCAGGGCGTAGCTCGTGTTCGCACCTTTGACGCTGGAGGGAAGGTGCCAGAGGGAACATTGGACGGTTCGTGAAAGAGTATACATTAAACCAGAGTGTTGCTGGCGTGTGGCTCACACCTGTAATCCCTGCACTTCGGGAGGCTGAGGCAGGAAGATCTCTTGAGCCCAGGAGTTCAAGGCCACAGTGAGCTGCAATCGCACCACTGTACTCCATCCTGGGTGACAGAGTGAGACTCTGTCTCAAAAAAACAGAAAAAGAGAATGTTACAGACTAGAATCCCTTTATGTTATTTTTTTTTCATTTTTGAAAAAATGGGAATTTCCGGCCAGGTGCGGTGGCTCATGCCTGTAATCCTAGCACTCTGGGAGGCTGAGGTGGGCAGATTGCTCAAGGTCAGTAGTTCGAAACCAGCCTGAGCAAGAGCGAGACCCTGTCTCTACTAAAAATAGAAAGAAATTAATTGGCCAACTAAAAATATATAGAAAAAATTAGCCGGGCATGGTGGCACATGCCTGTAGTCCCAGCTACTCGGGAGGATCCTGAGGCAGGAGGATCGCTTGAGCCCAGGAGTTGGAGGTTGCTGTGAGCTAGGCTGACACCACGGCACTCTAGCCTGGCCAACAGAGTGAGACTCTGTCTCAAAAAAATAAACGGGGGGTAGGGGGGGTGGGGGGAATTGCCAATTTATGTTGCTTTAAAGCTGCCCATGTTAGGTTTGTATGGCTTTTGGGTTTGAATAAAGAAGGATACTTTATCATTGTATTATGCTTTAGGTTCTGAAGCGTGGGTAGATGCTTTAAAAAAATAAAAAGGAAAAAAGAGAAAGTTGGTTATCTGGACTGATTAGCTGAGGTAGGTAAAGCATGGTGCTGATGAGATGCAAATTGCAAGTTTGATCTCTAATTAGCATTGCATTAAAATGCCTATTCCGCAGTTGCAGACTGTACTTCACTAACCTCATGCTGTTCAGAGTTTGGTCTGCAGGCGGGCAGCGTCCCTGTCACCTGTGATTGATAGAACTGTAGGATTTCAGGCCCCCACCCCAGACCTGCTGAGTCAAAATCTTGAGTTTTTCAGGATCCCCAAGTGGTTTGTGTACAGTCAGGTTTGCAAAGCCCCACCCTCATCTGCGGGCAGCTTGCTGCGTACGCGTGTGACACGGTGCTAACGAGCAGCCGGGTACAAGCGTGTGCATGGGCCAGTGTCGGTAACATGGCCCCTGTGTGCACAGCAGCTGGAAAGCGTGGTTCACGTTTGGCATTAACATATTACTGTGCAGTTTTCTGACATGCTGCTTTCTGTGTTATCTCCCTACCTCCCACCCCACCTTTTTTTTTTTTTTTGAAAAAAAGAGAAGCTACATTGAATAATAGCTTGATGCGGCTGAGGGAACAAATTGTCAAAGCCAACCTGTTGGTGCGAGAAGCTAGTTACATCGCGGAGGAACTGGATAAGAGAACAGAGTATAAAGTTACCCTACAGATTCCAGCCTCCAGCCTGGATGCCAACAGGAAGGTGAGGTCGCCATTCATTGGCTAAAACAGGTCTCGATTCTGTGGCATTTAGTACTTTGACAGTGTTGTGTAGCCACCACTTCTGTGTAGTTCTAACTCATTTAATAATAAATTCAAACTATGTATATTTGGAAACTGGTATCATTTGTTGCTTTAAAATGGGTAAATAGGACACTTTTCAGTTTATTCTTTTAAGCATTCCATGTTTTGTACCCTACGAAGATACTAGCCATTCAAAAAAAATTAAAAATTTGCACTTTTGAAAGATAAAAATTAGTTTCCTCCCCAAACGCCCTGCAAATTTTCCCTTGCTGTTTGGTGCTTAGGATTCTCTCTGTCCTTGATGCTCTGTGGTCGTATGATAGCCCGATAAAACATTTTTATTTTGACTTTCCATTAAACATGGTCTAGTATTTTGGGTCTTAAATTTAAATTTATATCCAACTGCAGTCAAAATTTAAATATAAGCTGACCCTTAAGTAATCAACACCTTAAAGAATGATGACTGTTTGAGTATTGGTGTGTTGACATTTGCCTGGTAGGTCTGGAATGTTCCGCTCTGACCTCCCAGCCGTGTTGTGACGAGGTCACTCTTGCTGTCTTTGCAGCGAGGTTCTCTTCTCAGTGAACCTGCGATCCAGGTGAGAAGAAAAGGAAAAGGGAAGCAGATTTGGTCTTTGGAAAAACTGGACAACAGGTTACTGGATATGCGAGACCTTTATCAGGAATGGAAAGAGTGTGAAGAAGATACCCCAGTAAGTTATTTTTTAAAAACCATTTATAGCCAGTAGCCATAGAAGTGCCAACCTAGAATGAGCCGAGCCATTCTGGGGGACAGTTGTTCTCTTTCCAAAATTGTAATACTATACCTAGAGCAAAATTTACTTTAATCCTCTAAATTGTTTAGCAAATTAGGAATTTTAATAGCCTGTCTGTCTGGTTATCTTCTTTTTTCTTCTCATTTTTGTCCTTTGGATTTCTAGCAGAGCTCTGTGCTTTGTGTGTGTGTCTCATGCTGCTGTGGGAACTACCCTCGGACAGAGGCGGGCCTCTTCTCTTCCCCTTTCTCAGCCCCTCTAACCTTGCAGATAATAAACCTACAATATGTTTTTTAGATTGAACATCAGTGGTACGTTAATATTTACACTATATAAGAACATATTTTTGAAGGTGGTTTGATCCTAACGCAGGTGCCGTAGACCTATGTACTAGCACTCTCTCCTCTAGTTGCAGGTTTTCTCATTTATGTCAGCCATGTACTTGCACGTATTTAAAATAGAAATATGTGTTATGTATGTTTTTACATGATTTCAATACTGCTGGTCCTGTTTCTGCAAAGTTGTTTATTTCCTTAGCCTCTTGTTTTGTAAAAATGTTTCTTTTTCCAGATTGTCATCAATAAAAATGTCGTCTTAGGTGACATTTTTGCTTAAAAACTCTCATTTTGTTACTAAATTCCTCTATTTCCACTCAAAAATAAGACAACAATGAAAAATACCCAAAAAAGCCTGCCACTCTCCTCTGAGGGGCTTGTGTTCTATTACCAACCATGTGTCCTATGATTTGGGTAGGAACAAATGGAATAGACACGAATGACGCTTTTCCCTAAAAGAAAAATGGAGTGTAGTTTATACACTCTCCTTTTTCTAGTCAATATACGTCATTTCTTTATTTTGTGGCAAGATTTCCGAGTAAAGGAGAAGAAATACTGAAAGTAATGACCTGTCACATTGTACTTCAGCAAAAACTTAATTTTTTAAATAAAATCTAGAATTTTTTCTAATTTTTTTTCTGTATTTTAGGAAAAAATTCTGAAGACTACAAGCGTGTTGGGATAATGAAAGTGAAGTTTAGTGACTTAGAGGACATCACAAAGCAGTAGGCCGAATGCATTCATTTTAAGCGATTTTTCTGAAGTCGTGTGTTCCGACTGTCCTTACAGGTGATACGCTCTTACTTCAAGCGCGCCGATCCGTTCTACGATGAGCAGGAAAACCACAGTCTCATCGGGGTGGCCAACGTCTTCCTCGAGTCCCTTTTCTACGACGTCAAGTTACAATATGCCGTCCCTATCGTCAACCAGAAAGGAGAGGTTGGTCTCCTCCTGCCTCGTTTCCTGCAGAGGACGGTTCCAGAAACAGTAGGGCGGTGACGGTGTCTTGTTGTGACTGTTTTCCATCGGTGATGACGATGGTGTGTGATTCCGCAGGGCTGTGGTGGCTCCTCCAGTACAGAGGGGAGAGTACGAGCTAGACACTGGGCTTCTGAGTCCTCACGTGCCACTGACACCACGACTTGACTCTAAAACAGAGAGGTCCTCTCCAGGGTCGCGAACCAATCTGGACCAACGTTTCTGCCTTCCCGTTGCTGCAGGTGGCGGGCGGCTGCACGTGGAGGTGATGCGCATCAGGGCGACGTCGGGAGAGACTCGCGGGAGGAGGCCGCGGACGTCTCCTTCAGAAGAGGCCAGGAGAACAAGCTGGTTGCATGGTAAGTCCGGCTGCGTTTTGGAAGTACTCAAAGGGGGCTGATTTTTGAGGATGGTGTGTCTTTAGGTGTAAATTATTTTTGAAAAATGAATTGATTTTTTAAAAACCACCAGTGAGCCTTTTTGGTCATTAGTCTTAACATTGTTATGAACTCGGACTTACACATATTTGTGTTTTGACCCACTGTGCACACTGTGTGTGTTAAAGTGCAAATGTTCCACTTTGGCTGGTGGAAGCCACTTCAAGGGACTCTGGAGTCCTGTTGACGTAACTCTCACCCTCAGAGACTGGATTGCCTCCTCGCTTTCTGTTGTGATGACATCCTAGACCTGGAATCAGCCATCCTTCTGCAAGGAACCTGATTCCTTTCAGTGGGGAATGGCTTTTAGAGACCATATTCTGGCATGTAATAGCTTTTATGTATAAGGATGAGGACGAGTAAACTGCATGACTATAAAACAATTCTGATGGAAACAAAAGAAATCAGCCTGGAGACAAGTATCACGGTGATGAGTCTCACTAGCTCATAAAAGAATTTTGGATTTAATTTCCATAATGAAAACAATGCACATTTAGCGTTAGTATATTCATTGATAATCTAGTAAAGTTAGTGTATTTCAAAACACAAACAGCATCAGTGCCTGCTACGTTCCTTGCCCACTGTCTGGAACAGCTGCAAATTGAAGTCTGTGGTATTCTGACACCTTGTGGTCATGTTAGCTTTCGTATGCAAAAATTAAAAAACCTAACAACCTGTGTGTGTAGATACACAGGCATTCCTCATTCCTGGCAGTCTCATCCCTGAGTCGTTGCCTGTAGAGGAGAGTTCAGTAGCTTAAATCCTGTCTCTTATTTGTTTTAACATTAAAATTGAGATTAGTTTCTACTGGAAAAAAGTGACTTTCAGATGGGATTCAGTATGAATGTTGTGTGTTTTGACATATGGAATGTCTGCTCAGCACCTGTGTGGCTCTCGGTCATGTCTCATTGGTGTGGTCAGTCTCACCCCAGTATTGGAAGGTAGCTGTTAGGATTCCCATTTTGCCTAGGAGAAAACTAAGCCTAAGAAGATGAATTTAATAAATAGTTTGTGCAGCACACGAACTAATAAGTGCGAGGATTTTATTTAGATCTTTGTAACTCCAAAATCTTGTGATCTGGCCAGGCGCGGTGGCTCACCCTGTAATCCTAGCACTCTGGGACCGAGGCAGCCAGTTGCTTGAGGTCAGGAGTTGAAACTAGCCTGAGCAAGTGAGACCCGTCTCTACTATAAATAGAAAGAAATTAATTGGACAACTAATATATATAGAAAAAATTAGCCGGGCCAGGTGGTGCATTGCCTGTAGTCCCAGCTACTCGGGCGGCAGGCAGTAGGATCGTTTGAGCCAGGAGTTGAGGTTGCTGTGAGCTAGCTGATGCACGGCACTCACTCTAGCCTGCTGCAACAAAGCGAGACTCTGTCTCAAAAAAAAGAAAAAAATCTTGTGATCTTCCAATACCACATTGACTCACCTTAAGTAAACATAACAAACATCTTAAAATACTCAATGAAAAAAATGGTGGCTTTGGAATTTCATTAAAATTATTGCAGAATGCTGATTGCTTTTGGTTTGGAGGAATTAAATGCATCAGCCAATCTGTCTTTCGTGCCTGTCAGGAATTGCTGTCTAGATATTGCAAACTTGTCGACATCACAGGAAAAAATGAATTATAATGGGAGCTCTCAGTCATTCCTCCAACCGTTATCCGTATGGAAAAATAAAGTCATCTGCTTTGCGGTGACTTCCTGTGTTTTCTTAATGCTTCCTGAAATGTTAAGGTTGTATTTGTAGTTAATGCAAATACTACATGACCTTATGTCATATGTTCAAATTTTTTCATTAAACAGTTTACTGGAGGTGGATTGAATCATGCAACATGCAGAAAGTGACCAGGGGAAGATGTGTTTATGATTAATGCTCAATCATGTGAAATTGGTTTAATCAGTTACTAAATCAGAATTGATTTAACTTTCAGTTCAGTTTTCTTTGAGTTGGAGGATTTTAGTATATCACAACTTATCACAGTAATTCCAAATTAAATCAACCAATGCTGTCTACCCAAAGAAATATTAGAATATTGGCTCCTTTAAAAATCTGTTATAGGCATTTCTTTCGGGGCATTTGGGTCTGATTAGAACATATTTCTAATTGCGCTTCATATCACAAAACTCTGAACTCCTCTAGTCCAGATGCTCCTCTCCCCACTAATGCACACAGGGAAGCCATTCAGTAATGCTGGTGCAGAGGATGGTGAACTTAACCATCTTCAATTCCTTTGTTCCCCTCCAGATCTTCCAATTAATACATTCCTGATGCTTTTCAAGTTCTCCCAAAATGCTGCAGTAGAGAACCTTTATTCTCTTATATCTGAGAACCTTGTTGTTTCTTTATATTCAAATATAATAGATATTTTGCCCTTTCCTGAATATTTGTTGTCTCTTGACTCATACACTTATTTTGTTCTTCATTGATCATACTTAACAATCTTGTTCTCTTCCTTATGACATACCCACAGTTAGACAAATTCATATCATTGGATGGGTAATGTTGGAGAATCTTTTCTTTTTCTTTTTTTTTTTTGAGACAGAGTCTCACTCTTTGCCTGGGTATGCAGAGTGCGTGGCATCAGCCTAGCTCACAGCAACCTCCAACTCCTGGGCTCAAGATCCTTCTGCCTCAGCCTCCGGAGTCAGTGGGACTAACATGCATGCGCCACCATGCCCGGCTAATTTTTTCTATATATATTTTTAGTTGGCCAATTAATTTCTTTCTCTTTATAGTAGTGACGGGGTCTTACTCTTGCTCAGGCTGGTTTCGAACTCCTGACCTTGAATGATCCTCCTGCCTTGGCCTCCCAGAGGGCTAGGATTATAGGCGTGAGCCACCGCACCTGGCCGAGAATTTTTTCTTTTGAATTGTTGATGGTGATTATTATGTTCTAAGAAACTAGAATGTAAATGCTCTTCATCAGTCTTTAAATGATTTAAAACATCCACCTGTATAGTCAAGGTCATTGTTACCCCGGGTCAGGCCTCTCACTACATGTGACTGGTGTGTCGCTATTTCACAGATAGCAGAAATACAGTGTCTGAGGGCACCTGATTTGGCCGATGTAAACCAATAGTTAGTGACAGAGTCAGGACTGGAACCCATAACTGACTCAAAGTGCTTCTTGGAACCTTCAGATTTCAAAACAAACAGAGCCTTTTTTCCACTGCAGGTTAAAATCCTCCAGGCCACCGGGTTGCCACAGCATCTGTCCCACTTTGTGTTCTGCAAGTACAGCTTCTGGGACGAGCAGGAGCCTCTGATCGTGGCGCCTGAAGTGGACACCTCCTCCTCCTCCCCCGTCAGCAAGGAACCTCACTGCATGGTCGTCTTTGATCACTGCAGCGTGAGTGGGTTTTCTAGACCAAGTCAACGTTTAAATTGCTCGTGTAGAAACAAGACAGAAAAATAAATTGTATTTCTATGAGTGATTGTGCCGATATATGTCTCAGAGTTTCTTAGAGTGGGGATTGAGTCAGAAACTAAGGTGTGAGTGCACCTAACTCCTCCTCGATGAAAAGTTAGCTTTAATGAGAAGAAAAACAAATGCATGTGTATGTATCTGTGCATACTCTTCTCCAAAAGAAATCTGTCTTATATCAGATGACTGGAGAATTTTTCTTTTAGCTGTAAAACCAGTTCAGAGAGGTCAATTTGCCCACGGCTAGTGACCAGCAGAATCTGAACTGTCCCGTTTCAGAGTCTTTTTTGCTTCTGCACCACACTTGAGCCATCTCATTTTTTTTTCGAGAGAGGCCTCTTTCAAATATGTGAAAATCAGAGAATTACCTTTTGTGCATTAAAGAGAGAGGGAAAGAGGAGGAGACACCAACAAAGACAGGAGATTCCATGAGTTTCTTTAATAAATGGTTCTAGAACTAAATCCTCATCATGGAATTCTATCTTATAAAGATGGACAGGTTGGGAGAATTTTTAAAAATTAAGTCTTTTTGGCATTAATGATCATTTCCTTTCTGTGCTATTATTAGAGACAGTTAACTTTCTAAAGAGTGGGAACGATCTTTTGTCAACCCACTGCTGCCTTCTTGCATGTGATAACTTTTCTAAGACATTATGGATCATTGTTATAATAATATAATTATGCTTTTAAACATAGCTCCCAAAATATTGTTTACATATAAAATACAATATTGGTCTCGCATACTAGACTTTCAAGGTGAAGAGTTTTAACCCTTTGTACTCGCTTGCTTTTTTCTCGATTCCTTTATTCTACTCGGAATTTAATTTTTTAAATACCCCAGATTTTACAAAGCATGGCAGTAGAATAAAAAACTGGAGTTTCTTTTCATACAAACTTATTTATTTGGATTTTTTTATATTTTAAATTATTGCTACATTCAAAGAGTAATTGCACTCGACATCCGAGTGCAAAAGGTTAAAAGTTCAGAATTATAGTGATTTTTTTAAAGCCAAAAACCTTAGGCCATCTGAGCATGCATAGGTGTTTAGATGACTGCTCTGTAACTAGAACGTTCTATTGTCTGTTTCTCTTCCCCATGGTATAATTGAGTATGTGATGTCTGGTATAGATCATCATAAGATGATCAGAAAGTGTTTGCTGTGCTGTAATTAGCTGTTGTGTTGCAGGAGTTTTCTGTTAACATCACTGAAGATTTCATCGAGCACCTCTCGGAAGGAGCATTGGCAATTGAAGTATATGGACACAGAATGAATGACCCTCGCAAAAACCCGGCCCTGTGGGACTTGGGAATCATTCAGGCAAAAACACGGAGTCTTCGGGACAGGTGGATATTTGATGTTCTTCTGATCCCATTTATAATTTGTAAAAATTGCTACTAATTTCCTGAGTGTTGCCAGGGATGGATGGTGATGGCTCTGGGACATGAATCACACAGTTAAACTTCCTTAGGGCAGGGAACTGTGAGGAGTGATGGAAGGAGATGAGATTTGTAGCTATTTCAGAAGAGACAGTGAAATGAATTTCGGAGAGTGGTCACTTACCATTATGAATTGCTTCTAATCAGCTGTGCAGGGGGGGATCAGGGTGTACTCGGGGGTTCATGTTACTGTGTCTTCCGATCACGGTTCTGTTTGGGTGGGGTCCGTGGTGGACAGCGGTGGGCTTGTTTGCTGACTCAGTAGGAAGAGTTAAAAGGGAATGACTGAAATCGCATGTGTACTTTTCATCCGCTTATAAATGAGAACCAGCTTTTCTTTTTACCTTTTCTGCATTTAGAGAGTTTTAGCGAGTACTAAATTAGAAAGTTGGGACTTTTTTATCTTGCTTCTCTCATCGACCTGAGAAAAGATACCTGGCGAGTCACTGAGGCATGTGAAAAGATACCTGGCGAGTCGCTGAGGCGTGTATGGCACTACCTTTAGCTGTGCACGGCAAGATAGCCCCTGCACTTGCTTCTGTGCATCGGATTAGAATGTCCCAGTTTTTGAGTAATCACTTGGAAATAGATTTGTCATTATATCTTTGTGAATAAAATAAAGGAGCCATTTCTACTTCTGATACTTAGTTTAACTTTGCTGTTCATTGTATTTGCCAGAATGTACTTGTACATTACTCGTTGAAGTACAGATCACTCCACTGAACTCTGTCTGGAGGTCATTTTCATTGTTAATTCTTAGGTATAGGGTCCTAAGTGGACTGTATTGAAATTGAAAGATGTGATTTTCTAAGAACTTCAACTATTTCCTAGATGGAGTGAAGTCACCAGGAAATTGGAATTCTGGGTTCAAATCTTGGAACAGAATGAGAATGGTGAATATTGCCCTGTAGAAGTGATTTCTGCAAAGGACGTTCCAACAGGAGGAATTTTCCAGCTCCGGCAGGTAACTTGATTGTGAACATTCATATTAGAGTCTTTGGGGTCAGAAAGCTTACACTACTGGCTTCTTTTTAGCAGAAAAAATGATTAGACTGGCCATGTCCATTTCTTATATTAAAATTGTCTCCTGCTTCATGTGTATTTTCTTTCATTGTTACAAATACTGCTATTTATAATTATTTTAAAATCAGCTTCTGTTAGGGTTAGGTAAGTAAAATATAAGCTTTAAAGGAAAACTTAGAATTGATTTGTAGGACATAAAACAAACATATCGAGTAGCATTAGAACATCTGTGAAGACAAGGAGAAGCCATGTGACATGGCGAAGAGAATAAGCATCAGACTAATGGGCTTGGGCTCAACTGTGGCTCTCCTGTGTCCTGGCTGTAGATCCAGGAGCAAGTTCAGTGACCTCTCCCCTTCACCCATCACGTGGAGATGGTGATAGCACCAACTTCATAGGATTAGTGTGAGGATGAAGAGAGATGTGTATTTAAAGCTTAGTGCTCTATCCATGGGAGGTGTTAAACTGCAGCTGGATAGATAAGGAACACACTCAAGAATCCAATCAGTAGAGAAATAAGTGGGCACAGTCCCTGAACTAACCCAGGCACGCTGTGATCTGTCCAAGTCTGCCATGCTGACAATGAGAGGGGGAATGTTAATTTGCATGTAGGATTTGATATTCTTTTTGCTATGCTTTGTATTACCCCAGTGTTTAGTAGACTGTTATATCTTATGAGAGTTTCTATACTTTTAAAACAGTAGTAAAATATTAAAGTAGCTCTAAAATGAATGTAGGAAGCATTTGAAGCAAAATATGAAAAACGATTAAAGGAAAGAGAATGTTTTCTTAAATATTTACATTTTTGAATGTTTTAGGAGGCGGATGATAAATGCTTGTTCTCTAACCCCAGCAAATGAACTTTAGCAAATGCATTTACATGTAGGCAAGGAACTAAAAGAAAAAGGAGATTAGTTTAAATTTAAAGCATGTGATATATACATAAAATAGAATTCTTAAGAGTGTGAAGAACATCTTTTTCTGGGCATCTGTTAAAAAAAAATATATATACACATATCTTCTTGGATGCCTTAGAAATTCATCCTCTAGAAGGCAAGACCAGATAATTTCCTATGGTTTAGTGTAAATTGAATATTTAAGTATTTATCATACTTTCTGACACCTGTTACTAAAATGTTCAAAGAAAATATTGGGTTTATCAGGAAAGTATTTTTTGAAGGGTGTGCATCTTCACTTAAATGCCAGAAAAATTGTGCAAAGTCTGGTAAGGTTTTTCCTCTGTAAATGGCAAGACACAGAGGCTGTGATTTAGGTCCATTTGGGTGGAAAGTCACATGTAGGAAGAGCTTGGACATCAGGAAGATGAGGTTATGTGGTTGCAGAAGTTTGCAGCAGCTCGTTCAGATGGCCTTGAATGCCAGGCTCATTGGAGTTTAATATGTTTGAAAATTGGGATTGTTCTTGAATAGGAAAGCAACAGAGGAGAACTGTTTAGGTTTAGTCGTATGAAAATTGCTGTTTGTGTAGGAACAAATGGTCAAATATCAGCAGTTAATAGGGGTTCAGTCTAATAGTTGAAGTATATACCTTTCAAAGCTTTTCTGTGGAGCAGTAAGTCATTCTGGGTCCTTTTTCTCCTTATCTTCCCTCTCCTGATCGTGAATCTTCCCTTAAAGTGCATACTTCACCCTTCGCTTTTAGACACACATTCAGAATAGGTCTTTTTCTGCCTGAGACAAAATAAACAAAAGGTAGCTAATTGAAATGACAAAACTATTTTGGACTATTAAATGTTTTCTGGGGCACTTTTCCCACAAAACGTCTTATGCGTAGTCCTTAAGAAATACTACATCAGAAGACGTCTGTATCCCATCCATTCAGAGGTAGCCCGATAGGGTCAGTGATTGGCTAACTTGATTTTCCTGATTATGCAAAGCTCTCGGGAACTGAAATCTGATGGAGGGGAGGGCAAGAGAAATTGACTTGAAATTGAATATTCAAATTTCGTTTTTCAAATGCTATTTTACATTTCTAAAATTTATAAACCAACTTTGAAGTCAGTAATTTGGGAATACCGGGAATTCTCTTTTAAAATATTACTTCATTGTGTATGTACCAAGTCACACAGTATTTATTCTGAAAACATGTTTAAGAAGGAATAGCTTCTTTCTGATCAGTTCTTCATTTTCCCAGTTTGGTTTAAAATTATTTTTATTTTGGTATTAGGGCAGTGATTCCAATAATCTTTCTTCTAACTCTGATTGCTTATTTTTTAAAGTAGATCATACTGTATATGTTGACTTTGGTAATTTTCTTTTTAATATGTCGTATTTTTCTGCAGCAATATTTTAAATAGTGTTTCATTATACATACCACTGTATAAAGTTATCTATCTATATACATACATACATACATATATATAGTGCGAGGATTTTTATTTAGATCTTTGTAACTCCAAATCTTGTGATCTGGCCAGGCGCGGTGGCTCACCCTGTAATCCTAGCACTCTGGGACCGAGGCAGCCAGTTGCTTGAGGTCAGGAGTTGAAACTAGCCTGAGCAAGTGAGACCCGTCTCTACTATAAATAGAAAGAATTAATTGGACAACTAATATATATAGAAAAAATTAGCCGGGCCAGGTGGTGCATGCCTGTAGTCCCAGCTACTCGGGCGGCAGGCAGTAGGATTCGTTTGAGCCCAGGAGTTTGAGGTTGCTGTGAGCTAGGCTGATGCCACGGCACTCACTCTAGCCTGTGCAACAAAGCGAGACTCTGTCTCAAAAAAAAAATAAAAATCTTGTGATCTTCCCAAATACCACATTGACTCACCTTAAGTAACATAACAAAATCTTAAAATACTCAATGAAAAAAATGGTGGCTTTGTGAATTTCATTAAAATTAATTGTCAGAATGCTGATTGCTCATTTGGTTTGGAGGAATTAAATGCATCAGCCAATCTGTCTTTCGTGGCCTGTCAGGAATTGCTGTCTAGATATTGCAAACTTGTCGACATCACAGGAAAAAATGAATTATAATGGGAGTTCTCAGTCATTCCTCAACCGTTATCCGCGTATGGAAAAATAAAGTCATCTGCTTTGCGTGACTTCCTGTGTTTTCTTAATGCTTCCTGAAATGTTAAGGTTGTATTTGTAGTTAATGCATACTACATGACCTTATGTCATATGTTCAAATTTTTTCATTAAACAGTTTACTGGAGGGTGATTGAATCATGCAACATGCAGAAAGTGACCAGGGGAAGATGTGTTTATGATTAATGCTCAATCATGTGAAAATTGGTTTAATCAGTTACTAAATCAGAATTAGTTTAACTTTCAGTTCAGTTTTCTTTGTAGTTGGAGGATTTAGTATATCACAACTTATCACAGTAATTCCAAATTAAATCAACCCAATGCTGTCTACCAAAGAAATATTAGAATATTGGCTCCTTTAAAAATCTGTTATAGGCATTTCTTTCGGGGCATTTGGGTCTGATTAGAACATATTTCTAATTGCGCTTCATATCACAAAACTCTGAACTCCTCTAGTCCAGATGCTCCTCTCCCCCACTAATGCACTCGGGAAGCCATTCAGTAATGCTGGTGCAGAGGATGGTTGAACGTTAACCATCTTCAATTCCTTTGTTCCCCTCCAGATCTTCCAATTAATACATTCCTGATGCTTTTCAAGTTCTCCCCAAAATGCTGCAGTAGAGAACCTTATTCTCTTATATCTGAGAACCTTGTTGTTTCTTTATATCTCAAATATAATAGATATTTTGCCCTTTCCTGAATATTTGTTGTCTCTTGACTCATACACTATTTTGTTCTTCATTGATCATACTTAACAATCTTGTTCTCTCCTTATGACATACCCACAGTTAGACAAATTCATATCATTGGATGGTGTAATGTTGGAGAGTTTTTCTTTTTCTTTTTTTTTGAGACAGAGTCTCACTCTTTGCCCTGGGTAGAGGTGCGTGGCATCAGCCTAGCTCACAGCAACCTCAAACTCCTGGGCTCAAGGATCCTTCTGCCTCAGCCTCCTGAGTACCTGGGACTACAGCATGCGCCACCATGCCGGCTAATTTTTTCATATATATATTTTAGTTGGCCAATTAATTTCTTTCTATTTATAGTAGAGACGGGGTCTTGCTCTTGCTCAGCTGGTTTGAACTCCTGCTTGAGTGATCCTCCTGCCTCGGCCTCCCAGAGGGCTAGGATTACAGGCGTGGCACCACTGCGCCCTGCGAGAATTTTTCTTTTGAATTCTTGATGGTATGTATTATGTTCTAAGAAACTAGAATGTAAATGCTCTTCATCAGTCTTTAAATTATTTAAAACATCCACCTGTATAGTCAAGGTCATTGTATCCGGGTCAGGCCTCTCACTACATGTGACTGGTGTGTCGCTATTTACACAGATAGCAGAAATACAGTGTCCGAGGCCCCAATTTGGCGACGTAAACCAATTAGTTAGTGACAGAGTCAGGACTGGAACCATATAACTGACTCAAAGTGCTTCTCTGGACCTTCAGATTTCAAAACAAACAGAGCCTTTTTCCCCTGCAGGTTAAAATCCTCCAGGCCACCGGTTGCCACAGCATCTGTCCCACTTTGTGTTCTGCATACAGCTTCTGGGACGAGCAGGAGCCTCTGATGTGGCGCCTGAAGTGGACACTCCTCCTCCTCCCCCAGCAAGGAGCCTCACTGCGGTCGTCTTTGATCACTGCAGCGTGAGTGGGTTTCTAGACAAGTCAACGTTTACATTGCTCGTGTAGAAACAAGACAGAAAAATAAATTGTATTTCTATGAGTGATTGTGCCGATATATGTCTCAGAGTTTCTTGAGTGGGGATTGAGTCAGAAACTAAGGTGTGAGTGCACCTTAACTCTCCTCCCGATGAAAAGTTAGCGTTTAATGAGAAGAAAAACAAATGCATGTGTATGTATCTGTGCATACTCTTCTCCAAAAGAAATCTGTCTGT